TGTATTTCAGAGGGAGGAAAGCACCTCTAGGTTGTCTGCAAGGGGTTTGTCAAATGAGTCAGCCCATGCAGAGATTCAGTAAGGATGGGTCCACACCCAAGATCAAAAGTCTGAATGGGGCCCCCGAAATCTCCACGGTTCTAAAAACCCTTAACCCTAAACAGGCTAGTCCGTGAGAAGTTCACATGTTATGCTGATGTAAAGAATGTACCGCCCGCTTTAAAGAATTTCATTGCAAACTGGAGAAACCTCCCACTCACGCACAGTGCATTGTCAAGTTATCCGGCACCTGCAGGCCGACCAGGAGACCATTACTCCGGTTCCTTAGCCTTTGAAGAAAGTTTCCGGATATTCAAACTGCCAGTAACAATTCAAAGAAAGCTCAAAACGAGGCTTAACCCAGCGGAAATTAACAAGTGTCACAAGTTTCCGCTGCCCTGAGGACAGCAAAAAATAACACGGAGAGAATCAGTTGGTGAAATATCACAGAGTTAATCAACTGCAACCAGGAGTGCGGATCAAGGAAACAAGTATGTTCCGAGGAAAAGGAGCCAAATAGATATGAGGATATCAAAAAGGTGTCAACGCAGTTTCCCGAATAACAGTAAGTTGCAGCAGAAAAAACAAATTCAAATAAACACAGACAGCCCATAAAAACGCGAATCCGAAAACAGATAAAGGACAGAGAATAGGCCACACAGCCGACAAAACACCAAAGAAAGAAGATAATGAATATCAGCGTTAAGAGGCTCGAACAAACAGAGGGAACTCACTCAGATGCTCGATACCAAGAAATCAAGAAGAACGTGTCTGACTACATCAAGAAGGTCGGATACAACCCGGTCGCAGTCCCATTCGTGCCAATCTCGGGTTGGGTTGGTGACAACATGATTGAAAAGAGTTCAAACATGCCATGGTATAAAGGATGGGAAGTGACAAGGAATAAAGATGGCAAGAGCGTAACTGATACCGGGTTCACGCTTCTCGACGCCCTTGATAAAATGGAACCTCCAGCAAGACCAACAGACAAGCCCCTAAGGTTGCCGCTACAAGATGTGTATAAGATTGGAGGTATCTGCACTGTTCCTGTCGGCCGTGTCGAGACCGGTGTCATCAAGCCTGGTATGGTCGTCACCTTTGCTCCCCAGGGCTTATCGACCGAAGTCAAGTCTGTTGAGATGCACCACGAAGCCCTCAGTGAGGCATTTCCCGGCGACAATGTAGGATTCAACGTAAAGAACGTTTCTGTCAAAGATATCCGCCGTGGTAATGTTGCCGGAGATTCCAAGAACGATCCTCCAAGAGAAGCCGCAAGCTTCACTGCTCAGGTCATTGTCATGAACCACCCCGGTGAAATCAAAAATGGCTATTCACCTGTCCTCGATTGTCACACAGCACACATCGCATGTAAATTCCATGAAATCACTGAGAAACTTGACCGGCGATCAGGCAAGAAGGTGGAAGATAACCCTAAGTCCATCAAGTCCGGAGATGCAGCAATGGTGGAGCTTGTGCCATCGAAGCCCATGTGTGTCGAACCATTCCAGCAGTACCCACCACTCGGTCGCTTCGCTGTTCGAGACATGAAGCAGACGGTGGCAGTTGGTGTAATAAAGGCTGTCAACAAGAAATCAGACGCGGGTAAAGCGACCAAATCCGCTCTAAAAGCAACAGGGAAGAAGAAGTAAATTTCCTTGTGGTTTCCTCAATTAAACGTTTTACTGGATCTCTATTGTTTTCCGTTTAAAGATGTTTTCGTGGTTGCGATTCGCTGGGTATTGTATCTGACACTGGGTTCATGGTATGTAGCGGGCTACCAAGCACTTGTCATCGTTCGAGCTAGACTGGTGTTTGTAGGTCGAGTCGGGGCTTGCGCGTCTGAAGCCAGTTAAGTTACTTTATCACATGGTCGAGGATGGGATAGAGTGTTACCGTCTTTGAAGTGTGCAATGGTCACTTTCTTGGCATTATCATGGGCGATGACTGCGTAGCTCAGTCTGGCGCATTTGTAGCGCTCACAGGCTATCAGGGACCAGCAAGGAACCCCGGGACCTCAGGAGACTCGGGTGTAGTGAGTTTGTCGAGCGAAAAGGGATGCCGGCTAGTCTTGATGTGTCGGCGTAACCTAACCAATTGGTGTGTGAGGTCGTTCCCACCCGTCGTTGTCCGCATATCTCTTCCTCCAGGGTACCAGCGTAACCCTTATCTGGGCTCCCCACGTGTTGTATGTGGAAGGATATCGATGCTGTGGATGGGTGTGCCAAAGTTTAGGCAGTCACCGATACTAGGATGTGTGCGGTCCGCATACCACTGTTGCGTCACCACTCGGATGGTCTCCACGGGTCAGAGAGTTCATGAAGTGTGCTGGGACTCGGCAGTTATCGACCGAGTAGTGAGTCCGTTGGTGTTTTCGCGATGAGCTAGTGCACACATTGTCCCATGAATCCAGTTCAGTCAAGCCTGTCAGTCAGGTCCGTGGCCACTTATCGAGAGATGATGTGCTCATCCTGATTGACAACGGGTTAAGTAGTGAGAATTAGCTGCTGTGCATTTGGCCAAGACCTCTGCAAGGAGTGCAGTTGGACAGTCGTGACTTCCTTCTCGATATTCGGTTTCGGAGAGCAAGTCGTTTAGGGACTGGTGAAGCGACGGTCTTTCGCAGCCTACAAAATCCAACACTATGGTCGTATGCTCACGAGGGCACACGTTTGCTGGCTAGGGTGTACCGGCCAAGATATATAAATAAACAAATGTTGTATCCTCACATTAGTCATTTAACATGGGAGAAGCCAGTTTACAGGCATCACCGCATTGATATATGTTGAAAAATCAACTAGATTTTACGAGTCTCGGATGGGATAGAGGGTTTCGCTAAACTCTACTTAAAACATCAGAAGATCCCGCTACTTATGAAACAAACGATAAAATATCACTTTTTAGCGTATAAGCAGTGTTAAAGTTCAGACAATGATAATTCTTATCCTTACACAATGGACTTAACACGAGAGATACCGGTTTACAGGCATCATCAAACTGATGACTCCTGAAAGTTTACAAAATATTATTTGGCATTAAATAACCAGCACATCAACTCGTCGATGTGCGTATTCCTATCAAAGGTTGCTGCAGTTCGTTAGACGGGCATGGATTTCCATTTCCCATCACACAGATAGGCCTTCGTCAACTTGAAGCCTGGATTTAACACTAGAGATACCGGTTTGCAAGCATCATCAAATTGATAGCTCTTGAAAGGTTAAACACATGGTCAGCCTCTGATCTTCTTCACACACTGATCATGAAGGAAGTATTGTGTCAGACATGAGCGTTGTCTGGAATTCAGGGTGAATGGTTCTATGGTCGCCATGCTGGTTGGCAAACTTTGTGCGGACACCAAGCGTTGATATTTTGACGGTGAGGAAGGACTGATTCGCAGAGCTGTAAGATAGTTTAGCTTTTAGACGAGCCAGTCACAGGTTGGAGTATCCACAAGTTCCTAGGTGTTGGAAAGAAGTAGGACGGCACTAACGGCCTTTCAGATATCTGTCGTAATGTCATGGGTTCACGCACGACAAGATAAACAGGTTGTCAACTAGGTGTTGTTGGTGAAAGTTGTATCCATGTTTAAGAGATGGTGATCAGGATCATGCTCCTGACTCATCTGTTCCTACCCCAAAGCAGCACCACATGCAAATACCGAAGGCCTCCTATTCAACTTGGTCTGCTTACTTTACGATCGGGATACAAGTTTCTTTTCAACTCGAGTCCACTCCGCCCGGAGCCCCAAGGATAGGAAACAAATTGACTGTCAGCTGGCTCAGCTAAAAGCGTATGGAGTAGGTTTATCCGGGAGGACTGGATTCTAGTTTTGGGAGACAATTTGAGGGACATATGGTGCTCTGCATATCTGCCTTCCGCTACCAACCTTCTTACTGACCAGATAGCGTTGCCTCAGTGAGTGGCTGTCCTCGAACGGTGGCTGGAAACTCACCCCAGAACTAAAGCTTCCACTCAGAAATACTCTTCACCACCAGCGCCACCCTAACATTGATTATAGGGGGTATGTCAATTGTCACCACCTCTTTTAGTTTGTCTCAGGTTGTTGTTGTAAAGAAAGAAGCAGCGGTGAAGGTTCTCACATACCGAATCCGCCTAAAGTCCCCGAGATTCGGAAGGTTAGAGGTTTTGTGGTCGTATCTTCTGCAATGTGAAAAACCAAAGAATAGTCCTATCAACGTGATCATGCCTGTAAACTGACCTCTCCCATGCAAAATTACTAATGTGAGAATCAAACATTTATTCATCAGTACTGGGTGGTGATTGAAGGTGAGATGAAGATCTGGACTAAGGCCGGATTCGAACTAGTGACCACCCACCCAGTGCACCCAGTACAACCACTAGTCTACCAAACCACGGCTGTCCCAGATAGTCAAATCATAATTCATTCATTCATTCATTCATTTATAATCCTCCGAGGGGTAACTTTAGTTAGGCTAGTTGTGTAGTGGGCGCTGCCGACCGGAATGGATACAAGTAGCATATGTTGAGAGGTCGGCAGAAGTCATAGGGAATTGCCTGCAATGGGTAAAGATTCTGACCAGAGCAGAGCAAGAATTAATTTGTGTGTATTAAAAGCAAATCAAGATAGAAGCAGATGAGATGAAGCATACTGTGCAAATGGCTGTCTTAGTGCAAGGTGCGAAAATTTGATGACTACCGTACAATACATCAACGATAAACATTCTTTTCTTCATCTTAATCCTGTTGTCTTTTACAGTTGGTTCTCGTGTACATTGTATTCCGCTGTGGACTCTGTTGAGATCCAGGTACAGACAAGCGCTTCTTCATACGCACCACCTGTAACAGATAACAAGTAAAAGGGACTAAGTAAGCATCGACTTCCCTACTTCTGTAAGAAGATTTGGTGACTTAATGCAGATGTGCGATTGAAAATTGAAAGGGTTTATCTACTGCCGACTTTTGTTTAACCCAGCTGATCTTCCGTTTACCGCTGGTTGCTCACTAGCGTTGCTTGCCGTGCTGCTTGGCGTGTTTATCCATTCGTCGGTTTTGTCACGATGCCTAGTGATAAGGAGCATATCAATATCGTTGTAATTGGACACGTAGACAGTGGAAAGTCTACCACCACTGGACATCTTATTTACAAATGTGGTGGCATTGACAAACGTACCATCGAGAAGTATGAGAAGGAGGCTGCTGAGGTAAGTATTAATGCACTCACTTTATTTGTTACATTAGATGGGCAAGGGATCCTTCAAGTATGCTTGGGTGTTGGACAAGTTGAAGGCGGAACGTGAACGTGGTATCACGATTGACATCGCCCTGTGGAAGTTTGAGACAAATAGATACTGTGTTACGGTTATTGACGCTCCTGGTCATCGTGACTTCATCAAGAATATGATTACTGGGACTAGTCAAGCTGATTGTGCGGTGCTGGTTGTCGCAGCTGGTGTTGGTGAGTTCGAGGCTGGTATCTCGAAGAATGGTCAGACGAGAGAGCACGCCCTGCTAGCATACACTCTAGGTGTCAAACAACTGATTGTCGCCATTAATAAAATGGATTCTACAGAGCCACCTTATTCAGATGCTCGCTACCAAGAAATCAAGAAGAACGTGTCTGACTACATCAAGAAGGTCGGATACAACCCGGTCGCAGTCCCATTCGTGCCAATCTCGGGTTGGGTTGGTGACAACATGATTGAAAAGAGTTCAAACATGCCATGGTATAAAGGATGGGAAGTGACAAGGAATAAAGATGGCAAGAGCGTAACTGATACCGGGTTCACGCTTCTCGACGCCCTTGATAAAATGGAACCTCCAGCAAGACCAACAGACAAGCCCCTAAGGTTGCCGCTACAAGATGTGTATAAGATTGGAGGTATCGGCACTGTTCCTGTCGGCCGTGTCGAGACCGGTGTCATCAAGCCTGGTATGGTCGTCACCTTTGCTCCCCAGGGCTTATCGACCGAAGTCAAGTCTGTTGAGATGCACCACGAAGCCCTCAGTGAGGCATTTCCCGGCGACAATGTAGGATTCAACGTAAAGAACGTTTCTGTCAAAGATATCCGCCGTGGTAATGTTGCCGGAGATTCCAAGAACGATCCTCCAAGAGAAGCCGCAAGCTTCACTGCTCAGGTCATTGTCATGAACCACCCCGGTGAAATCAAAAATGGCTATTCACCTGTCCTCGATTGTCACACAGCACACATCGCATGTAAATTCCATGAAATCACTGAGAAACTTGACCGGCGATCAGGCAAGAAGGTGGAAGATAACCCTAAGTCCATCAAGTCCGGAGATGCAGCAATGGTGGAGCTTGTGCCATCGAAGCCCATGTGTGTCGAACCATTCCAGCAGTACCCACCACTCGGTCGCTTCGCTGTTCGAGACATGAAGCAGACGGTGGCAGTTGGTGTAATAAAGGCTGTCAACAAGAAATCAGACGCGGGTAAAGCGACCAAATCCGCTCTAAAAGCAACAGGGAAGAAGAAGTAAATTTCCTTGTGGTTTCCTCAATTAAACGTTTTACTGGATCTCTATTGTTTTCCGTTTAAAGATGTTTTCGTGGTTGCGATTCGCTGGGTATTGTATCTGACACTGGGTTCATGGTATGTAGCGGGCTACCAAGCACTTGTCATCGTTCGAGCTAGACTGGTGTTTGTAGGTCGAGTCGGGGCTTGCGCGTCTGAAGCCAGTTAAGTTACTTTATCACATGGTCGAGGATGGGATAGAGTGTTACCGTCTTTGAAGTGTGCAATGGTCACTTTCTTGGCATTATCATGGGCGATGACTGCGTAGCTCAGTCTGGCGCATTTGTAGCGCTCACAGGCTATCAGGGACCAGCAAGGAACCCCGGGACCTCAGGAGACTCGGGTGTAGTGAGTTTGTCGAGCGAAAAGGGATGCCGGCTAGTCTTGATGTGTCGGCGTAACCTAACCAATTGGTGTGTGAGGTCGTTCCCACCCGTCGTTGTCCGCATATCTCTTCCTCCAGGGTACCAGCGTAACCCTTATCTGGGCTCCCCACGTGTTGTATGTGGAAGGATATCGATGCTGTGGATGGGTGTGCCAAAGTTTAGGCAGTCACCGATACTAGGATGTGTGCGGTCCGCATACCACTGTTGCGTCACCACTCGGATGGTCTCCACGGGTCAGAGAGTTCATGAAGTGTGCTGGGACTCGGCAGTTATCGACCGAGTAGTGAGTCCGTTGGTGTTTTCGCGATGAGCTAGTGCACACATTGTCCCACGAATGCAGTTCAGTCAGGTCCGTGGCCACTTATCGAGAGATGATGTGCTCATCCTGATTGACAACGGGTTAAGTAGTGAGAATTAGCTGCTGTGCATTTGGCCAAGACCTCTGCAAGGAGTGCAGTTGGACAGTCGTGACTTCCTTCTCGATATTCGGTCTCCGAACGCAAGTCTTTGATGTTTGTTTCTACTGTAATTTTAGCGTTGTGGCATTAAGTCGTTATTTCTTAGGTGGGTGTGTGTTCAGGTGGTATGTTTCTGGTGTGCTTGGTTAAGATGTTTTTTCAGTTGAGTTGGTTTTATTTTCTTTTATTAGTTCGGTTTTGCGCCTGGATGTTTGATTGGTTATTTGTAAGGTTGTGTTATGTCATCGGAGGTTTATAACCTTTCTCATTTTTATGCTTTGGTTATGTTAAGTGTCGTAGATCTCACTTATTTTAATTTAATGTGGAAATTTCGACTTTGTTAAACGAAGCACTACGCAGACTGACCTGTATTAGGCGTCATTGGTCGTAACGGATTTTGGTCTAATGGTATGGTTGGTGTTTTATGGACACTAACAGACGTGTTTGCTACCGCTTAGTGTTTTATACTTGGTAGGAAGGGACTGACGCTGCGATTTTGATTTCTCACGTATGTGAAGACAAGCGTAAGGTTTTAGTGTATACGTAGTTTAACTTAAGTTACCAAGGTGGATGAGTCAGTGACGTCATTGTGGGTATCTCAATACAATATGTGAACAATGGATAAGGAAACTCTCCTGTAGCTGGTCCCAATGGGTCACAACACAAGTAAACCAACTGCGGTTTAATGACTAGCTAATGGTTACTTATGTGAATAACAGATCTGGGCGGCAATTAAATAAACATGCTAGATAGTAAAGCGAACAACTCTCATGAAGATACGATACTATAAATCTCTACAGGAGGAAGTCTCAAAAGATCCAGTCCTTCTTGGGAGAGGTTGTCTATCTTCATTCCTACCCTCTGCGCTTCGTCTTCAGTTCGAGCTTCATAGCCTACATCTAGTCTCGGCACTTGAAACACATACGCTGGTGGTGGCATATCGGTCAAAATGTTCTTAACATCAAAGTTCTTAGACGGCACTTGTCAAATTCCACTGGGTTTCAGCCGCTTCTTCTGTACGGTATTCTTATGTTCCAACTTAAGACTAACCACGAAATCTACCTCGGATACTTCCGGTTGTACAGGGGAATGTCTTTGTTCGATTAGTCGTTTTTTGACATCATTAGCATATAATGGGACTAATTTCATGTGTCATTCCAATCTACTGCAGAATTTCGATTGTCGTTCTTGAGTAGCATATTTCAGTCGTGGAGCTGGTAGTCTGTAGAGTTTAAACACCGCAAACTCGAGGACGAAAGGCCTAGTTGATTTTAGCAACTTGTTCACGGGGTGTAGGGGTGAACCTAGAATGTTTCATGAAGACACTTTCGTCCCCTGGTTTCCAAGGCAGCAATACTTCGTTCGCTGCTGCTACTTATCTTAAACGAAAATCTATGGTGCAGTCTGTAGAGCTTACCAGCATCTGCTTTGCTCAATTCGGCAAGCATCAATCGGAACAGTTATATAGGTAGTAGCTGACCAGTCCTCTTTCACAGTGGAGGTTTATTGAACCTGACTTACCCCAGTCGACTTCTACTTCATAGCTAATGGCCTTTTCCGCTCAAACTGCAAAAGAACAGTGTTACGGATGATCTATTCCAAAAGACTCACTACTAAGCTGGTGAATGTAACTGGAAGATAGTTAACCGCAGGATGTATATAGCCAGTTTTATGAACCAGAGTGATAATGGTATCCTTTCATCTCCTGGGTGGTTTCGATGGCTACAGTAATGTTTCAAAGAGCTAAGCTAGATTTAGCCCACCTTTATCAAAAGACTCGCTCGTCCTGACGTTTTGGAGTAGTCTCAAGATACCCTCCTCCGTGAGTACTGCTGCCACTGAAAATAGGCTGGTGCTGAACTCACCCTTCAGAGAATACCTCCCTGGTGGGGTGTGACAAAGCTTAAGGCATAGTCGTATTAATAGTTGCTACTTGCGTCGGATCGTCATACAGCATCACTGCTAGGAGGCGTTCTTTCTTCTTAGTTCTCTTAATGTAAGACTATAGCCTCTTAGGATAGGATTGGGTAACTTGGACAGTTTTCTTTCCCATTATATATTTTGACAAAGCTCGGAGAACCAATTTTGCCGAATACAGTGAATTCATTATATTTCGTCGCTCTCGACTTTAAATAGTCGCGAACTATCTCATTTGAGCTTCCTTAATCTATAATTTCTTTATTAATCTCATCAATGGACTGTTATATTCTTGATAAGCGAATTATGTAAGTCGTATTTCTCTCTGTATATATATGGTGAATTTATAGCATGTTCGCAGTTCTAATTTTGTTAATTTTTTTTACGGGGACCAACTGTATGAAATTTTATATCGCTAATGAGGTTTCAACGGGAATTCCTGAACTAGCTGGTCATAGTTGTCCATGAAGGACAGTTAGGATGTTTACGCGAGAGTGACCAAGGTATATGGGGTTCGTAGCAGTTTTAAGTGTGTTCTTGAGCGCACTCCACACATCATCAATAGATGAGATTTTATCAAGTAACCAATCGACCAATGAGTCGTTATGTTTGCCTACCAAACAGTTGGACTTAGTCATAGATCAAACCACAAACTCTGAACTTGAATGGAAGCAGTGAGTGGTTACTGTTTGCTAATATAGAAAGATCGTTTAGTTTGGCTATTACACTCACCTTGTATGGGCATGGTATCTAGAGGCAAGGTTCCCTGACTAGAAGCACTACAGTTTAGAACCTTGCTGATTAGATTCAAATAGGGTGGTTCTATAAGCCTCCTGTGTCTCACGATCTAATATTCTTAAGTTTCTAGCCTATTAAGGTTGAAAAAGTTTAATTTCCATAAATTATAGTCAGGACCACCATATAGAGAATGATTAAGTAGCTTTCTCATGGACTGTGTTAACAGTAGGGTCTGTTTTGCTGAGGCTAATAGGATTTTACTCAGAGCCGCATAGTTATTATACTTGTAGCTTAAACAATTCACGAAATACCATCCCAACCTCCAAATTAATAACTAAGAGTCCCACTGAACCCATGGAGCAATTTTATTTGATCGGAAACTGTAAGGTTTCCAAATCCGTCATTTAAAGTGCTCGGCTGCTTCAGAGTAGAGATGACGACTAACCACCGTTATTGCATGTCGAAGAACGTCTGTATGCTAGAAGGGACTTCTAATTTTCGATACTATTAGTAGAAAGACGAAATCGATGTAAGTGCTTATCATATCTCAGTGTTTGTGATAATTTCACGGTTATCCGATTTATCTGTTGCTAAAATGCTATGGTCACTGTTTCTGTCCTTCAACCATGTGACTTATTGTGCCTAAGAAATTTCAGGATGAAACTATGTTTACCCCTTGTGATTTTGTGACGCATTGGAGCTGACAAAGAAATGGATTTAGCAATTTTATATTGCATGTATCTTTCACAGGTGTACACGAAAATGTACTCACTAAAATCGTTATTATCATCATATTTATTACTATCATTTTTATATTCTGCTGGTTCGGTCAAATTCCATTCTAACCTGTTCCCAGAATATTGTAGCTGCAACATCGGTTTGTCCGAAACTACAGTGAGATTAGATTCAGGATCCAGCTACTCTGTTTTATAGGTATACTGCAATGTAAAAACTTCAGCTCCTAAGACGAAAATATTGTAAGACCATGAGTCAAGAACCTCAGGTTTATAAGACTGCAGTTTAAGTGAGAAACAGTTCAACTGTTCCTCAACCGATCTATCTCACATACCTTGTGAATGCCACAGCATCAAACCGAAGTGAAATCATCCCTGTAATATTTGTGTAGTCCAAGAGCTTGTATCCACTAAATTGAAAACGAGTTTACAGCCTTATCTATATGGACAGTTCATTTGTCCCAACACACGATTGTCATACTGGATGTTCGTAGATGACTTTTTGTACAACTCTAATTGACATTTTGTAGTCATAGAAGGCTTTATGAAGCACTACGCTACCCCCTCCAAACAAATTTTTGACAAGTCAGTCAAAACGCAACCAGCAACCTGTTTACTTTCATGCAGTGGACAATCAGCCACAGCCATTGGGTGAGAATCAGTGTTACTACTTTGCTGCCTACAGCACCTCGGCAGTTGGAGCGGTGCTTAGACCCGTCACCTAATAGTCGATTTTCAACTACCCAAACTAATAAGCCTCAACTGCATA